TGCCTGTGCATGTACATACATGTAAAGATGTTCATGAGAATTTTGTTATAAGGTTAATAATCTCTTAAAACTGACATTATGTAAAAATTACATAATGTGTTAATAGATTGGGCAGTATATTATCACAATGTTTTTAAATTGTTGTTTATTTATACCTTGCCATTATTATTTTTATAAATAATACAAGGTAGCAAATACATCCAATATTCCTTCCTCCTTCTATTTTCCCATAATAACAACTGTGAAGGCGAGTTAGACTCGCAAAGAATGACTAATCCCCATTTTAGGCATGAAAATCAAGTAGATTGTGGGTCAGTCATTGTCTCAGCCAAACCTTCTCCATGGGATTATTGTTGTGGGGAAAAAGGAGATGAAAGGAATATTATATATGTTTGCCACCTTGAATTACTTCTAAAATAATAAAGGTGGGATAAAAAATCTCCTCCCCCTCATCTTTCATCTATCATCTTCATCATTAGTCTTTACTGATCATATCTGAAAGTTTTTCTTTTACCTTACTGTGTATAATTGTAATCCAGATTTCCCCAATCTTTCTGGCTTGGGGGGGGGGGGGGGGGGGGGGGGGGAGGGGATGGTTCTGTGTGAATGGCTGGCAAGTGTGTGTGTGCAACTTGATTTGTGTAAGTGGCAGGCATGGGCACCCACTGCTCGTGCGAATGGAGCACATGCCCACAAGGAGATACATGTGTGCTTTTGCCCACCACTTTTGTGGCCTGGTTCTGAATGGCTCACGGCCCAGTAGTGGGTTGGGGACCCCTGATGTAATGAATATAATATATTAATCATACATATAAAAAAGAACAAGGCAAATAAGGAATATATGGAATATATGTATACCCACTCTATAACTGTGTAGCTTTAGATGTGTCATATATGAAACTATAGTGCAGTGAAGGCTAACCTTTTCCAGACTGAGTGCCCAAAGTGCATGCATGTGAATGCGTGCCCGAACCCCCAAAATGCTATGCAGCCTCCGGGCATGCGTGCATTCCAGGCATGCGCAGCAGAGACCCGACAACCAGCTAGCTGGTGGGAGGCGTGTGTGCATGCGCAGTGGAGCGGAACTGGGGCAATGGCTCACATGCCCACAGAGAGAATGCTGCATGCCACCTGTGGCACGCATGCTGTAGATTTGCCATCACTGCTATAGTGTAATAAGTTTTTACTCTTAACCAATTTTTATAGGCCATAAAATAATGCATAATATAAAAAAATGGTGCCTACATGTTATTAGTTGGTAAACATATTTCATTGCTCCATGCATTATTTCTATACTTATATGAAAACATTTTTAATTCAATTCAATGCATTTTTTTCTTGCAGTTTTACAAAAAAAATTACACACACACACCATGTTTTCCCTAAAATAAGACCCTGTTTTATATTTCTTTGAACCCTCAAATAAGCGCTTGGCCTTATTTTTGGGTAAGTCTTATTATTTTGGGGCGCATGGAGCAAGATGAGGGTCCTCTTGCCATCTTACTTGATTTCCAGTTCTGTCTTCCTAACCCTAACCAGAGGAACTGGCGGGAAATGCACATATCCTTAAATATTTTGGGGGAGGGCTTATTTTCAGGGTAGTGTTTATTTTTGGGGAGAGGTCTTGTTTTTGGGGAAATACTATATATATATATATATATATATATATATATATATATATATATATATATATAGTAAAACTGCAAGGAAAAAAATGCATAAAGACTACCTCTTAGGAAAAGAAAAAAAAGTAGCTCAATGCATTTTTTGATAAATAATAAGATTGATTCCATTCCATGACTTACATTTTGATTGAGCAGATCTGAACTCAGAAAGTGCCAGGTGGTAACAATGGGTCATTTTGGTTTATTCCCAGATTTATAGTTTGACAGCTGTTCTATGTTACTACATTCCATTTCATACAATTATTGCCAACATTATATGTTATAATAAGGGAGATAATATATATATCGATAGTATATAGAACACGACTTGTCTTTTAGGGACTAGGCCAAATTTGCCATATGAGTAATTGATTGTTTACAAGTCTTCTTGTAGTTAATAGTAGGGATTTGGGGAAAATATAGTTTTTTCCTCTAGGTAGGTAAATTTTCTCAGCTTATTTCTGGATATTTTCATATTTTCTGTATTCAGATTTTGGTTCACTTATTGTATCCTTCATATTTGTGAGCAATGAACTTGTTTGTTTCCATCAAGAATTTCTTTGAAATAGGTATTACTGGATTTGAACCCAAAAGGCTCAAACAGATTTTTATTATTAGAGCTGTGCAAAGCGCTACAATTATATTTCTTAAAAAGCAAGTGGAAGTGAAGCAACCGTGTTTGAAGTATTAAAGAAACTATCTGCTCTAAAAGGCTTAGCTGTTCTTAACAAAGGCTATCCTCAATACAAGTAGTCAAACAAGGACTGTCTTTGAAGCAGCCGTATGATCTTCTAAAGGATGTTGCTTCTTTAATACTCTTTGCACAACCCTACTTAACTAAAAGTGTTTGTGATTTCAGCACACATGCTCTTGTACTATTTGTTGTCAAGTCTTTTGACCAAAGTAATTGTTAGTTCATACAAAGTGTGCGATGTATGTTGTAGCTCAGCAGCAGTTGTTTTGTGCTATGCCCAGTTGTAGGACCTGTTTCCTAATTTCCATTTCAATTCTTCAGTTCTTTTGAGATTAAGTTTTGTTTTGTTGTTGTTACAAGATACCATAAATATTGTAATCAATTATTACTTTTTGGTGGGAGGAGTGCCTTTGACTTTGCTAATTGCCTGAACTAGTTCCTGTGGGTTTTCTTGTTTTGTTTTGTTTTTTTGGAAATATGTTGGAAGTTGTTTGCCATTACCTCCTTCTTAAGGATGAGAGAGAATACGGTAACTGGCCCAAGGTCACCCAGCTGCCGTTGTGCCTAATTAGAACTGTGCAGGACTAAAACTCATGATCTCGCAGTTTTCTAGCCCAGTGCCTTAACCACTGAGCCAAAGTGGCTCAGAATCAAATATAATTAATAATTAACTAATTGATTATCAAAACTTATTAGCAATGTTTATTTTTAATATAACATTTTTATTAGATGCTGACATCCTGGATTGGATATTTTAGTAACTGTTTTTATGTTATACAGGCAGCCCTCAACTTAAAGCGACAATTGAGCCCAAAACGTCTGCTGCTAAATGAGAAAGCTGTTGAGTTTTGCTCCATTTTATGACCTTTCCTGCCACAATGAATCACTGCAATTGTTAAATTAGTAAAATAATTAAGTGAACCCCGCTTCCCCATTAACGTTGTCCATCAGATTGTTGCAAAAGGTGATTACATGACCCCAGGATCAGGGGTGAAATGCTCCCGGTTCGGACCGGCTCGGGCGAGTAGGTAGCAATGATGGCCGGTGATTCGGAGAACTGGTAGCAATGGCAGCTGGAGGCTCCGCCCACCCGCCCCATTCCCCGGACTCGGGGTATGCACCATTCCCAGTCTCCTACTGCTCACCTTTCTCCCGCGGCTGACTGTCAGGGAAGGCAAGCGCCCGAAAGGTACCGGAGTCACTCACTCTCCTTCTTGAATGAGCCGCTCTGGTCCACGCGCCAACTGCGCAAGCGCACATCATTTATTTAATTCAGCGGCAGGTTGGATGTGCGCTTGCGCAGCCGGCGCTTGGACCAGAGCGGCTCATTCAAGAAGGAGAGTGAGCGACTCCGGTACCTTTCGGGCGCTTGCCTTCCCTGACAGCCAGCCGTGGGAGAAAGGTGAGCAGTAGGAGTCCGGGAATGGGGCAGGTGGGCGGAGCCGCGTGGCGAAGGGCGAGCAGGCAGTGGCTCTGCGGCAAGGCCGGAGTTGAGAAATGGTGCATTCTCCGACTCCTACTGCTCACCTTTCTTCCGCGGCTGGCTGTCAGGGAAGGCAAGTGCCCGAAAGGTACCAGAGTCGCTCACTCTCCTTCTTGAATGAGCCGCTCTGGTCCATGCGCAGGCTGCGCAAGCGCACATCCAACCTGCGGCTGAATTAAATAAACTGCGCTTGCACAGCGGGCGCGTGGACCAGAGCGGCTCATTTAAGAAGGAGAGTGAGCGACTCCAGTACCTTTCGGGTGCTTGCCTTCCCTGACAGCCAGTTGCGGGAGAAAGGTGAGCAGTAGGAGTCCGGGGAATGGGGCGGGTGGGCGGAGCCGCGGGAGAAAGAAATTTAAAAAGTTTTCCTATTGGGTTCTGTGGGCGTGGCTTGGTGGAAGGGGGTCTTGTGACTGTGTGAGCGTGGCTGTGAGTGACATTGAGTTGGCCATGCCCACTCAGTCACAGAACACCCCCCCACCAAGCCACGCCCACAGAACCGGTAGGGAAAAATTTTAGATTTCACCCCTGCCCAGGACACCGCAACAGTCATAAATATGAACTAATTGCCAAGCATCTGAATTTAAATCATGTGACCATGGGGATTCTGCAACAGTCATAAGTGTTAAAAACAGCAATAAGTCACTTTTTCAGTGCTGTCGTAATTTATGAAAATATGTTTTCATAAAAATATATGATATTTTTATTTCATATAAAATATATGAATACTATGAAAATACGACTTCAGCAACAGAGTCGTCAATGCCTGGAATGCACTTCCTGACTCTGTGGTTTCATCCCAAAACCCCCCAAATTTTAACCTTAGACTGTCTACTGTTGACCTGACCCCATTCCCAAGAGGTCTGTAAGGGGTGTGCATAATAGCACCAGCGTGCCTACCATCCCTGTCTTAATGTTCCCTTTATTTGTATTCATTTTATGTATTCAATCCGTGATTATACTTATATATATTATCTAATACGTACTTGACAAATAAATAAATAAATTAAATAAATAAATAAAACTTGGTCATTGAATGAACTGTTGTAAGTCGAGGACAACCTATATTACATCTTTATCTGCTTCAAATAAATTAAAGGTTCCTTGAATTCTTGAGCCTCTTTTAAATTGACAATTAATTGTTTGGGCTTTCATTCAGGATCTCTTTTATTTTAAACTTCTCACAAAGAAATCTTGAAGATACTGACTCAGGAGGATTTTACTACCTGTCCGGATGTCACCAGCATTTCCTATGTTAACAGTTCTGAGTATGTTTTACTATATTTGCCTTCGGCGCCGAGCCAGGACAGCTACAAGGGGAGAATTGATGAACAATCGGAGAGCCATTGAGTCAAATAGATCCCTACCTATCAATGTTGAATTGGTCCAGTATGCCAAAGAAGTGTTGGACTTCAGCTCCCATTATGGCAGTGAAAACAGCATGTCGTACACCATGTGGAATTTGGCTGGAACTCCTAATGTCTATCCTAGCTCAGGTGACTTTACACAAACCGCTGTGTTTAGGACCTATGGAAAATGGTGGGATATGTGCCCTAGCGCACGAATACCATTTACGAGGATCCCACCCAGTTTCCAAAGTCAGGAATATGTAGAACTTGCGTTTGAGGAACAAGTGTATCCGACAGCCATACATATTTTGGAAACGTATCATCCTGGTGCTGTGGTTAGGATTTTGGCGTGTTCTGCAAGTCCTTATTCACAAAATCAGCCCAGTGAAGTAAGGTAATTCATTTCATTAATTTTCTCTGTTTTTCTTTGATGTGATATGTTCAAATATTTAAAGTAACATTTTTTTCTTAGAAAATTCTACATATGTACTCCCCTTGTGCCCACAAAATTGTTTTTGCTATCTACAAACTGTTTGGGCTTCACAGGTAGCAAGAAAAGGAATTCTTGTTTTCCGTGGTCTAGTCTTTGCAAGTGAAAGCTGCCTGCCCCCCATTTGTTTGCTTTTTATATTCACAGTATTCAATGTTTTGCAGTGCTTCAGTTTAAGAAAGCCTGCTGTAAGATATTTGGGCAACAGAGCTCTTGAAAATGCTTCAGAAACCTGTCCTGTAGATCCATCTTAATAGTACCGGTAGTCCTCGACTTACAACCACAATTGAACCCAAAATTTCTGTTGCTAAGTGAGAAATTTGCTAAGTGAGACATTTGTTAAGTGAGTTTTGCTCCATTTTACGACCATTCTTGCCACAGTTTTTAAGTGAATCACTGCAGTTGATAAGTTAGTAACAAGTTTGTGAAGTGAATCTGGCTTCCCCATTGATTTTGTATGTCAAAGGGCCACAAAAAGTGATCACATGTCCTTGAGGCACACCAATGATCATAAGTATGAATTAGTTACCAAGCATCTGAATTTTGATCACATGATCATGGGGCTGCTACAAAGGTCGTAAGTATGAAAAATGGTCATAGCCACTTTTTTCAGTGCCATTGTAACTTTGAATGGTCACTAAATGAATTGAAACAAGTGGAGGACTACCTGTACATTAAACTTCATTGGTTTCCAAGTGCTAATTAGCCTGAATATAGGTTTGGGATCAAATTTCTAAGTTCTTGTTCTACTGAATGAATTGTGGTTTAATTTCAGGTTTAACCAAAGGGTCTCTTTAACTATTTGTTACTGAAGTGCATCTTCACTTTAGCTTACTCTCTTTGTTTTCTTCCCAATGCAGTGACAGGTTAAAAAAGAATTAACACTAAAATGTTGTTGAATAATGTTAACGTTATTTAATGTTTGGGAGTTAAGATATTTATCATACATTGTAGAGGTATTAAGAGCATAATTAAAATAGTATTTATACTGCCCATGGTTTGATGTTCTTTATATTAGTTGTGGTATTTTCTCCCCAAATTGAAATTTATTAAAGAAATTAAGGCAGTAATATTTGCATTAATTGCCCTGTGACACTAATCTACTTTTCTTTTGGTAGGTGGGAAATCCTTTGGTCAGAGCTACCTTCCAAGGTGATTTTGTCTCAGGCACGTCAATTTACACCTAGTATCAAACAAATAAATTTTCCTACAAATTTAATCCGTTTGGAAATAAACAGTTCCCTTCTGGATTATTATACCGAGTTGGATGCTGTAGTACTACATGGTTTAAGAGAAAGACCTTTGCATTTACTCAGTACTCCAATTATTGATATGAATGATCTAGATGACGATGAAGAAGGGGAGAGAGAAAGTTACAGCAGCGTGGACAGTCTCAACAAGCAGTTTAGCACTGCTGCCTTCAAAGACTGGACAACTAATGGATACTTTGATAAATTGCCTTATGAGGTAAAAGCCTGGGAATTTTACAGGGTTAAGAAAAAAAAATGTCATAATTACTAGGCTGTAGAGATTCATTATATCTTGAGATACGTAAGTAGTTATAGTGTCATATACATATTTATGAACTTTGCCTGTTTTTTAAGTTCTGTTAGCTTCCTGGATTTTAGTTAGTGTAGCTTTTTTGTTTTCTTTCTTAAAATGGTTGAAACTGATTCAAGTAGATTCTTAAAACTAGAAGAATCTGTTACCGGCCCTAGCTGATCTCCCCATGCAAATTCATTTTTATTTTTGTGTCAAGTGCTTATAAAAATGAATGTCTTCCTCATTGAAGTTTCTTGATCACAAGAGGATAATACTTTAGTTTTTTTTTTGATTCAGCTATTTTAAGCATCTGTTAATCAAATTATTTAAAATAGGCATGTTTTGTTTTCTTCTTTTGAACAGAAAATATATTATAAATATCTTAACTGTTAAGTCTGTAAAATATATTCATTACATAAATGTTATATTCCTACTCCTTTTTAAATGTAAGTTCTAAGATTTCATAAAGCCAGCTGAGTTTCAGATGCCATATTTTTATGCCATAAGCTGCATTCTTGGAATTTTCTGAAGTCCTCACATATTATAATATCAAATTGTGCTTTATGCTGGGCCAGATATGGAATGAAATTTTTAGCAAGATACTAAATTTTAAACTAACTAAGAGTAATGATTACTAGATAGGCTTGAAATTTGTTTTCTTTGTTTGATCAGAAGCAAAATATATTTTATACTGCAGTTACATTTTAATGTCATCATCATGGTGACATTTGTTTATATGCTTTTCATTTCAGGTATTAAGATGTAATTTTAGTGTAAAATGGGATTACCTTTTCTGGTTTTGATAGATACTGACATGTTAGGAGTTGTTTATCTCTGATGCTAATGTTGTGTTATTATCTATATAGCATATAATTATTATTAGATAATGAAATTAGTTAAAAAGGATCTTAAATAGTTTTTCCCTTTACACTTTTTGCTGTATTTGGTCATTATTATTAATCAGAAATCACACTTTGTGCTTTGACTCATTGATGGTTTAGAGGTTAATGGTTTAGAGTGTAAATATGTTTGTTTTATCACATCTTTAAAATTAAAGTTAAAAATGCTAAATATGATCTTAAAAGTCAGTCAACTTAGAGTAATTGATCAAAACTAATAAAGGAGAGCTTCAACCGAGAAATAAGGAGACATTTCCTGACAGTTAAACAATTAATCAGTGGAATGACTTGCCTCTAAAAATTGTGGGTGCTCCAATATTGGAGGTTTTTAAGAAGAGATTGGACAACTATTTGTCTGAAATGGTATAGGGTTTCCTGCTTAAGCAGGGGGTTGGACTAAAAGACCTCCCAGGTCCCTTTCAACTTTGTTATTTTATTGTTCTATTAATTAGTCTGATCGTCCTGGTACAATGAAAATAAGATAACTTGTCCTTCTCACAACTTTTACTTGATGCAGTCTTGTCACCATTATATATAAAAGAAGCCACTCTGTAACCTGTACTTCTTGGGCTAATATTTGTTTATCCCATTGCCAAGACAATTTGTAGCAGGGTGGATTTGATTTAAATCGAGTTGATTTAAATCACAATTTAAATCATGATTTAAATCACTAGTAAAAAGGTTTGATTTAAATCAACTCGATTTAAATCATTATTTTTAAAGAGCAACTGTCATCTCTGCTACTCCTTTGATCCACTGTTGACTCACCGATAGTCCCAGTGTTGCAGAATATACAGCCTCATGCTACATAACTAAGCTCCATTTCATGCTGAATAAACTAAATTATTTATGTAAACTTTATGTAAAATTATTTAGAAAACTTTCTTACGATAGATTTTTACCCCAAAAGTTTTTTATTAAAATAAATTCGATAAAAATCAAAAAAATCCGATTTAAATAAAAAAAATCTGATTTTTTTGATTTTTTTAAAAAAATCATTGATTTTTATCCACCCTGGTTTGTAGATTCTTGATGTTTATCTTGGCTATAATGTTACTTTGTGAACTTTTTCTCTGCTATATCTTAAATGCCAAATTTGATTAATCAAATGATAGACATCATAGTTCTGTGTTCTTCAGATTCAGATTATAATGGTTGCAGTGTTCCTTAGTCATATAATCACCATTTGCCACTTTCCCTGATAGTTTCCCAGAAGCAAAATCAATAAGGAAGCCAGCAGGAAATTTGCAAGTGGCTTCTTTAAGTTGATCCCACTTCCACTACTTTTTCTTCTAGGTATCTCCTATTCTGTAGCACATGCCTATCCTCAGTGTATACTCCTTCCCCACTCCATAGTACCCATCCAATTGTGCTTGTTTGGTGCTGTGGCAGCTGCCTGCACAGCCTCCCACACCTTGCAGTGGCCATCCCTTCCCTGACCACATTTGCGCCACAGCAATCACTTGCACAGCCTCCCATACACAGCAGCAACCACTCCTACCTAGGTGTGCTCATGTTGTGCTGCATCATCTACTTAACCACCTACTGACTTGCTTACAAACTGCCCAGGACTAGTGACTTCCTGCCAGCTTCCCCATTGACTTTGCCTGTTGGAAGCCATCAGGAAGTTGCGAAGAGGAGGTCCTTGCTTAATGATTCGTGATCCTTATTTAACAGCAACAATGGGGACTGTATGGATTACTGTTGTTAAGCAACGTGTCCTGCGGTATCACACTTCAAAATTGCAGTGCTTAGCAATAGAAATTCCAGTCCCGATTGTGATTGTTTGCACTAATGTATAATCTGAAGCATATTTATACCTTTGAATCCAAAAAGCACAGCGCTCATGAGCTTTTCTCTAAAATACAGACCCAACTTAGATTACTGATTAGGCTATATGGCAACAAAAAAAATAGCAGGTAGGGGTGGACTTCATATTGATAACATGAATCTTTGTATTTTATATATTCAAATCCTATATAATACATGAGGTAATGATATGCATTTTATTTTTAATAGATATAATAAAATCCCATTTAATTCAGAAAGAGTGAAGAAAACCTAAGGGTTACTGTCCCATTGAAAGTAAAAGGACTTAAAGGTATTTCAGCTGAGCCATGCACAATAATAGTCATAATAAACATGACATTAAAAAAATCCTGATTTTAGTATATGTGCAGAAGAACTCTACTCAGAACTAGAAGTGAAATTTTAAATATTAAAATATGTTAAAAAAATACTTCATGTAAAAAGAGCCAGTATTGTGCAATGGTTAAGGAATCGAACCAGAAAACAAGAGATTGTGAGTTCTATTCCTGCCTAAAGGCATAAAGACAGCTGGCGAGCCACTACTGAAAAACTTTACCAAGAAAACTGCAGGGACTCACCAAGAATCAAGAACAAGTCAAAGGCGCCTGCACTTCCCCAAAAAACTCTTCATCTATTCTATGCCCATTTATCAGATTATCAGATTGTGATTTTTAATAACTCTTAGTGACCAGAATTGGGACCAGCAACTCTATCATTAAATGACATGATTGCTAAGCAAAACAACACATGATTGGCACGGATTTATGGCACTTCCCATTCAGTTTTTAAGTGGGTCACTGCAGGTTGTTAAGCAAGACATGTGGGTGACTTGTGTTTTTACTACTGGCTTCTCCATTGACTTTGCTTGCCAGAAACCAGCTGTAAAGCATACAAATGGAAATTGCGGGGCTGTGACAATTGTAAATGCCCCACCAGTTGAGAAACACCAACATTTCAATCATGTGATATGGAGATGCTATGATGGTTGTAAGTTCAAAGATCAGTTATAAAATTACTTTTTCAGTGCTGTTGTAACTTTGAACGGCCCCTAAATAGGGCAGTTGTTAAGCAGGAACTACTTGTATATGACTGGAGTGTAAACATATAGAATTTTAAGTACATTTGATTGAAATCATATCAGATTTCAACTCTTGTTCAACTCTTTAGGGTGTAGCTATCCGTATGCAATTTAAGGCTAAATGCAGGTTACATCGAAAGGTGAGGTTGAAAGCAAGCACAAAATAGAAATATATATACCACCATATAAAAAATAGTAAAATAATGGAAATGAAATTGGGGAGATTTAATTTAATTAGAATAAAAATTTATTTACCTAGCATGAAAATACGATTTTGATAGAGTAATTTACTTTTATTGTTGTTTTTCCATTCAGCTCATCCAGTTGATTTTGAGTCACCTTACAGTTCCGGATCTATGTAGACTCTCACAGACATGTAAGCTACTATATCAACATTGTTGTGATCCACTACAATATATTCATCTCAGTTTGCAACCATATTGGGCAAGGATTAATGACACAGCTTTAGAATATCTGCAGTCTCGTTGTATCCTGGTCCAGTGGCTTAATTTATCTTGGACTGGGAACAGAGGAACCATTTCATTTTCTGCCTTTAGCAGGTCAGTATTCTGAAGAGGTATATAACATATTCTATAAAATAGAATAATAGACACATCCCTTTATCCCAATCACCTAGCAGTTAGAATAAAAGTTACTAACATGACTGTAGTCAATCCATAATACTTCAAGGTCAGAGGCATATGTTTAGTCATGCATCGGCAGCATCAAAGACATAAAATCCAGTGGCAGAGAGATAACCTGGCAGGCAAGTTTAGCAACTTCTTTTCATGTACTTGATTTTGTTCTGACACTTTTTCAAGAGTAGGAGTTGAAAAGTTCAAATTTTCTTTTTGTTGTCTTTTGTATTCCTACTCATTTTTTTCCCCCACCTACCAAACATTTGGCTGGTTTTGAAATTTAAAGATGTATGTAAACATGGCAAGAAAGAAAATGCTTCCTGGAACGGCATTTGTGAATTCCTCCTCCTGTAGGGGAAAAGTAGGGATACAGATGAGGTTTTCAGCAAAAATAGGTTTTTCTGTCAGAGAACTATTTATTTGGATTTTTAAAAGAGATAAACTTGATAAGGGGTAGAAAATAGCAGCCTTTGTAAATTCTTTGTGTATTGTGTGTCTTGTGCAAACTACAGGTGAAACTCAAAAAATTAGAATATCATGCAAAAGTTCATTTATTTCAGTAATGCAATTTAAAAGGTGAAACTAATATATGAGATAGACTCGTTACATGCAAAGCGAGATAGTTCAAGCCTTGATTTGTCATAATTTTGATGATTATGGCTTACAGCTCATGAAAACCCCAAATTCATAATCTCAGAAAATTAGAATATTGTGAAAAGGTTCAATATTCTAGGCTCAAAGTGTCCCACTCTAATCAGCTAATTAAGCCATAACACCTGCAAAGGGTTCCTGAGCCTTTAAATGGTCTCTCAGTCTGGTTCAGTAGGAATCACAATCATGGGAAAGATTGCTGACCTGACAGTTGTGCAGAAAACCGTCATGACACCCTCCGCAAGGAGGGAAAGCCTCAAAAGGAAAATTGCAAAAGAAGTTGGATGTTCTCAAAGTGCTGTATCAAAGTACATTAATAGAAAGTTATGTGGAAGGGAAAAGTGTGGAAGAAAAAGGTGCACAAGCAGCAGGGATGACCGCAGCCTGGAGAGGATTGTCAGGAAAAGGCCATTCAAAAGTGTTGGGGACTTTCACAAGGAGTGGACTGAGACTGGAGTCAGTGCATCAAGAGCCACCACACACAGACGGAACCTGGACATGGGCTTCAAATGTCGTATTCCTCTTGTCAAGCCACTCCTGAACAACAAAAAACATCAAAAGCGTCTTACCTGGGCTAAAGACAAAAAGAACTGGTCTGTTGCTCAGTGGTCCAAAGTCCTCTTTTCTGATGAGAGCAACTTTTGCATCTCATTTGGAAACCAAGGACCCAGACTCTGGAGGAAGAATGGAGAGGCACACACTGCAAGATGCTTGAAGTGCAGTGTGAAGTTTCTACAGTCTGTGTTGATTTGGGGAGCCATGTCATCTGCTGGTGTTGGTCCACTGTGCTTCATTAAGTCCAGGGTCAATGCAGCCATCTACCAGGAGATTTTGGAGCAATTCATGCTTCCTTCCACAGACCAGCTTTAAGGGGATGCTGACTTCATTTTCCAGCAGGACTTGGCACCTGCCCACACTGCCAAAAGTACCAAAACCTGGTTCAATGACCATGGGATTACTGTGCTTGATTGGCCAGAAACTCGCCTGACCTGAACCCCATAGAGAATCTATGGGGCATTTCTAAGAGAAAGATGAGAGACATGAGACCAAACAATGCAGAAGAGCTGAAGGCTGCTATTGAAGCATCCTGGTCTTCCATAACACCTTAGCAGTGCCACAGGCTGATAGCATCCATGCCACACCGCATGGAGGCAGTAATTGATGCAAAAGGGGCCCAAACCAAGTACTGAATACATATGCATGCTTATACTTTTCAGAGGTCCGATATTGTTCTATGTACAATCCTTGTTTTATTGATTTCATGTAATATTCTAATTTTCTGAGATTGTGAATTTGGGGTTTTCATGAGCTGTAAGCCATAATCATCAAAATTATGACAAATCAAGGCTTGAACTATCTCGCTTTGCATGTAATGAGTCTATCTCATATATTAGCGTCACCTTTTAAGTTGCATTACTGAAATAAATTAATTTTTGCATGATATTCTAATTTTTTAAGTTTCACCTATAATACAAAACACTGGCCAAAGAAAATTTGCTTTAACAACATTGCTGTCTTTTATGAAAACCAGTATCTCAACATTATTGTTTTCTAGGACATCTTGCTAAAAATCTGCTGAAATGGCAGATTTTTAAACTCCAAACTTTCTCTATATTAGAGAGTGTATATCTTTTAGTCTATATTTTTCTGCCCGCAAAAGAATCTTTTAGATTTACATTTAATAGCAATAGCACTTAGACTTATATACTTAGACTTCACAGTTCTTTACAGCCCTCTCTAGAGGAGAGCATATTGCCCAACAATCTGGGTCCTCATTTTACTGACCTAAAAAGGATGGAAGGCGGAGTCAACCTTGAACCAGTCAGGATCGAACCCCTGGCAGTGGGCAGAGTTAGCCTGCAATACTGCATTCTAACCACTATGCCACCAGGGTCCATTTTAATGGTTGGCTCTGTCACAAAATTCATATAGTAAAATATATATAAATTTTTAACGGCCATGACTATAAATGACAGTTGACATGTTGGCATGTTTCATTACAATCTACTTTATACATTCAAACATTTAAGAAAATACTAATCAAAAACAATCCAATCCATTTTAGTTACTTCATCTATTGTTGATAATGGAAATTCTGTAAATGGAATGGCTATAATCAATTTGTACCTACAGTTTTAAAATACTTTTTCTTTTTTTAAATTAATAATTCATAGGCTGAATAATTGACAATTTTTTCAAAGAATAATAATCTATATGTTATAATATTTTTACACTGCACATAAATCTATGATATATCTTGTTGAAGATATGTTGAAGTTTATAGACAATGAGTAAATTATCCTTCTGTGAGCATCATTTAGTGTTAATATACACTTTTAGCGTTAATATGTACTGCTAATATATACAGCAGACATGTTGTTTATGTTTCTGAAAATGTAAATATTAGTAGAGTATGTATGAATAATAAGAAATAGAACAAATTAGAATAGTAATCTAGGATAGCTGACAAGCTACAAAATATTACCATGAGAGGACAGAATGCTTGAGGCATTTCAATTTCCTGAGGCAAGGCTGAAGGTAATTTAACTTATTGATAGTGTCCACCTCCGTAGGGCTATGTAAGAATATTGTAATGTTTCACTTATAAAAATTGCTAAACGTACTAAACTTCTTTGCTTGAGCTAGACAGAGAGTTTGAGAAATATTAAATGGGACTATAAATCATGTATAATCAAATGATGTTAATGTGATATAGCTGAATAATTTTATAGTGCTCTATCAGTAATCTTTAGGCACTTTAATAGATGAGATATATTATCATGTACAAGTTCTTTATATAATAAATTAAATTGAGATAATTCTCTTTTTGACAACAGCAGACTAGTAAATGTCTTTGATACTGCTTGAAATATCAGTAGTGAGAGGCTGTTGTTTCTTCTGTAACAGAAGAACATTTAATTCTGTTTAAATGCTTTGGCAACATGAAATGTCTACATTAAAGCAATATTCCTCCTTTAAAAATAAAAAAAAACTTCTTTACGGCTGGTGACATTTTAAACAATGATTGAATCAATACAAATTAATTTATTCTGATTTTTTTTAAAATCTAACTACTTAGCTATGTAATTTGACTGCTGTGTGAAGTGATTTTATTTTTTTGCTCTGCTATTTTCTTGTTTTGCTTGAACTGTTTCAGTTGAATATAAACAGGTTAGTTTGCATGGATCGTAGTTTTTGTTCTCAAAAAATAATTTTGTCTCAGGATCAACCTCCTTTTGTTTCCTTGGGCTTTTTCCATCTGATTTGCACCTGACACTGACAAACATATCTGAGCATTCCAATTCAGGGGATGAGTTGTGTAGGACATACAAAAACTCTAATATGAAGTTGAACTGTACCTCTATGCAACATCAAGAAATATGATACAGGTTCCAAAACAGAGAAGGTATGGAAGCCAGATAGCATCATGATCCAGATATATCGAGATCCATGTTCAAGTCTCCGTTACAAAATATCTGAGTGACTTTGAACTAAATCATTATGTCCCAGCCTAATCTGTCTCTTAGGATTTATGTTATAAGGATAAAATTGCAGGGTGCCTTTATGTATGTGAATTCAAGCTGTCATGGGAAACACTGAACAGAGATGCAGTAAATGAATACAAATAATGCTTATATTAATTATTATGAAACCCAGCTGACAGCTGTAGTTCATAATTACAGGAGAGTTTGGAGGGGATATTGTTTTTGTTTGTGCAGATATAATGGGATACTGCATTTTTATCCCCAATACATTCCAGTGCATCACATTATTTTTGGATACTAAATTGTAACACTTGTAAATGGATTTAAATATATTTAAAAGCTTACATGTTGGAATGTGACCTATTGCAATGTCACAAAGAATCCTTGGCTAACTGGATTGTCTTGGATACTGGAATTGATTATTATTACCTTGCTAAAATAGTTCCTTGTTAGGCGTGCATCATTTTGTTCCTGATCTATTAAGACATGGCATTGGAAATTCTGGGAATTTACCCAGTTTTTACAATGAATTAAAAGCAAATGCATTACTTTTCTTGGTGAATTGATTCATCTATGCTTCTTACAGGTTCCTGAAAGTTTGTGGTTCAGAACTAGTACGCCTGGAATTGTCTTGTGGCCATTTCCTCAATGAGGCTTGTTTGGAAGTTATTGCTGACACATGTTTAAATTTGCAGGAATTAAATCTCTCCTCCTGTGATAAAATTCCACCTCAGGCTTTCAACCACATTGCCAAATTGTGCAACCTTACACGTTTAATTCTTTATCGAACAAAAATAGAGGTATGAAAATCATTTTTCTTTCACCCTTACGTGTTAAAGCACTCTTTGTAAAGTTATAGAGAAAACATAGTAAACTATTTTAAACATATAGTAAATATCAGAGGAAGAGAAACTTCAGAATGTGGTGTTTGAAAGACTCAGTAATGATTAATAATGGTTTGTTTGTTTATTTACTATTTAAAACATTTGTACAGCCACCCATCTTATAATGAATTCTGAGCAGTCATCAGATTTTAATAACATAAAAACCATATTAAAACTATTAAACATTAAAAACAAAAACCTGGCACAAGTCAAGCTTCCGATATATAGTCACCTCATTTGTCACAGTGCTTGGGGGGGAAAAGGTCTTCAGTGCTTTACAGAAGGCTAGGAGGCTAGAGGCCTGCCGAACTTTAGGGAGAAGAATGTTCCACAAGACAGGGACTGCCACAGAAAAAGCATACTCCAATATGGTGGCAATGTTTAAGGAAAGAGACTTAAGAGACTTTAGAGCCTTGGTAGTACAGTGGTCTAAAGCACCCTGTTATTAACACAGCTACCTGCAATTACTTCAGGTTCGAATCTTACCAGGCTCAAGGTTGACTCAGCCTTCCATCCTTTCTAAGGTAGGTTAAATGAGGACCCAGTTTGTGGGGGCAATAAGCTGACTTTGTATAAATATATAAAAGTATGAAGGCTATTGCTTAATGCATTGTAAGCCGCCCTGAGTCTCCGGAGAAGGGCGGCATATAAATCAAAATTATATATATATATATACTGGGCACCAGGCACTAATTTTATGTAGTAGTGATAAATATAGGGGTATACTTAATTTTTCCACATGAGAAATTTGCATTGGTATTTATTTATTTTACAGAATGGCTTGCAAATTGTAAGTAGTGTGTGATAGTCATTGTACTATATCCCCTTTATCAGTATTGTTGAAATGAAAATCAAATATCGGTATATTGAAAAAATAAATTTCAATGGGGTATACTTAACATCTTTACGTGAGTTTATATGACTGGGTAAGATTTATTTTCTACATTTTTATTGCATGTGTGATTTGATGTGCTTTCTGGTGCTTGTCATGTTGATTGCTAGGTTGAGTGTTGCCCTGAAATTCATTTAAGGAATAATCAGCCCTGTTTCAGAAATTCATAGTAATTTAGTATGCCAATATCCATACTAAAATGCCAGTATTCTACCAGTTATTACAGTACTGTAAGAAATTTGTTATTTCCAAGATCATGAAAAAATGTTTTTTCTTATTTCTTCATTTTCATCACTTATAGAACCTGCTAGTAATACAGGTAGAAACCACCTGTTGAACAAAAAGCTTGTAGACCAATTTTCACAGCTAGTTATTTATACATACATATGCAGTCAGCATTCTGCAAGAATGAATTTTTAATTGCTGCCGGTGGAAAAATGCTCCTTTTTAATACGAGGAAATATAAGAAGAAAATACATATGTAATAGCATGCATGATTTTCAATTTTCAATTACTTCCTCTGACTGCAGCTTAATTGCCACATATTTCATTTTGCCCTTTGTCTCTCACTTTTGAATGTGTATGGCCAGAATGTTCTAATTTTCAACTTTAGGAGTACTTTTTAAAAGATAGAAAGTCCTCTTTTTACACAATCCTTTCATAAAATGTAGTGAACTGTTTCCAGAACCAGAACACAATATGCAATTCATCTCCTAATTGTAAATAATTGTTAAAAGCTTCTTAACTTTGGAGAGTACTTAACATAATTTATAATTTTGTTTCAATCAGCCTATTGGCTTAAGTCTATTCAATTACAATCTTGCTTGCAATTATTGTACACAGAATATTTTTGTGCTAATGGTCTCACCATTTGCTAATACATGACTTTAATCTTTATTCATTTAATTTATTCATTAAATATGCATTCATAACATGCATTCAGAATTTATTGTCTTGAATGTAGTTAAGGTACACAATGGACAATAACAGCATACTGTCAATTTCTTATGAACTATGTAATAATTCTGTGTAGGTGTGTATACTTGATTGGATGTATATCTTAATTTTTGTTTGCACATATATTTTGAAGCCAGAGTTTCTCTTTGAAAAATATCAATTATATACCTCTAGCATTTGGGATAAGCATTGAATTGTGGATAGAATGAAATGGGGTTGTTTATATTGAATAGAAAACCTATTAAGTATAGTAAAGGTTTCAGGTTCTACCCAGGACTGTTAGGATAAATATCCAATCAATGTTGGATACATATACAAGATTTCATTCCATCCTTGATAAGTAAAAGGCTTAAAAAGAAGCCATCTGTCTAGTAATGACATGTCGGGGTGGGGAGGAGTTTTCGATTTTTGAGAGCTAAACTTATTTTTGGGAGCCCAAGCACCATTATGGGTGATAGAGATGTCAGTTGAGTGGAAAATGGATTTGAGGGAGGGTCTTTGGAGAACATTTTAACTTTTAAACTACATTAAGCCATATGATTTGTGGTTCAGAATGTGTTGTCATGTGATTCATGGCTTAGAATGTTATCAGTCTTTATTTATTATATTTGTATGGTATATGTATAAAGTCTGCCATCTCACATCAAGTCACTTTGGATAGCTGAGACTATAAATATAGGTAGTCCTCGACTTACAACAGTTCATTTAGTGACCGTTTGAAGTTACAACGGCACTAAAAAAAGTGACTTATAATCATTTTTCACACTTATGACCATTGCAGCATCCCCATGGTCATGTGATCAAAACAGTGGTGAAATTCATTTTTTTTTACTACTGGTTCTGTGGGTGGGGCTTGGTGGGCGTGATGTGGTTTGGTGGGCGTGGCAGGGGAAGGATATGGTAAAATCTCCATTTCCACCCCACTCAAGTGGAAGGATACTGCAAAATCCCCATTCCCTCCTCACTCCTGGGGGAAGGATATTGCAAAATCTCCATTCCCACCTCACTCTGAGACCAGCCAGAGGTGGTATTTGCTGATTCTCCAAACTACTCAAAATTTCCGCTACCGGTTCTCCAGAACCTGTCAGAACCTGCCGGATTTCACCCCAGATCAAAATTCAGACCCTTGACAACTGACTCATATTTATGACGGTTGCAGTGTCCTAAGGTCATATGATCACATTTTGCGACCTTCTGATAAGTGAATCTTATCGTTGACTTTGCTTAACAACCATGTTACAAATGTAACCACTGCAGGGATTCACTTAACAACTATGGAAAGAAAGGTTGTAAAATAGGGCAAAATTCACTTAACAACTCTCTCACTTAGCAACAGAAATTTTGGGATCTATTCTGGTCGTAAGTCGAGGACTACCTGTACATCAATGTAATAACAAAATAATAAATAGAACACACTTGGCAGTAAAAGAAAAAGTTCTGAAGACAAATCAGTCAGCAACAGATTCATTCAATTTGTGGGTTCAACCCTTTCCTGGCCTTCACACTTAAGGAAAAAAAACCTCAGGTCTTAAGCCTTCAAAAGGCCAGCAGGGTTGTGGTTAATCTAATCTTAATACTTATTCCAGGGGAGAGGTGCTGCTACCAAAAAGTTCTGCTTTGTGCTATTGTTGAAGTTTGGACAGCACAAAGGATTTGGGGGCTGTACAAAATCCTTTTGTTTTTCCCCATGGTAGTATTTTTTTTTTAAAAGTTTCATATATCCAACATTAGATTGTTTTATAACTAGGTACAAACCAATAATTTCATAATTGTATTTTATGTATATGTTTAGTCGAATGGTGACATTGTAGATATTGAATGAAATGTGCCCTTTCTTTTTATAACTTACCTGGACTTGAAATCATACTAGCAGAAATATGAATGATTAGAGGCCCATCTTTTCATTGTATATAAATTCATTGACAGTGAAATTCATTCACTGTATATAAATACATTTAATCCCATTTGATCATTTCTGTACTTATTACAAATATTTTAATATTAGGATCTGAAACTTCTATTACCATCCATTTTATTTATGATTATAGTATTATAGAATTAACATGTATAACATTTATAGTTTTTCTAATGTTATTTACCCTTTAACAGAATCTAGTATTTTTTTCCTTTAATAAATACAAAGCAAATGTCTGATAACCCAACATTATAGAGCAGAGGTATCAAACTTTCAGCCTGTGGTCTGGATGCGTCACGCACTGGCCATATCCACACCCGGTTTAGCGGAAGGGAAAAAAGTCACGATAATGTCACATGATGACGCCATGACAACATGAGTTTGACACCCCTGCTATAGAGCAAGACTGGATAACTTTCCATTATTAAAGATGCATTATTATTCATCCTTTTAATCGTTGGATTTTACCTTTGCTACTCTTTTTTCTTTTTCCATTATAATTTTGTCGAAATCTTTGCTAGAGATTAAATCTATTTACTCATCCTATTTAGTATTACAGTAAATCCAATTACATAATAATAATTTATAAAGACCTCAATATTAAAAAGACTATGAAAATTATACTTGCCTACAAAAATATAGTATGTGCTTTAGAAATAGCAAATGGCTAAAAACTTTTAACAAGATGTCTCCTTAATGAGAAAGATGCCTATTTATATCTGTGCATTAAATATTGTATTTACATTGAATCAGGTAGACTGACTCAAGTGTTTAAAACTGGAACACTATAAAACTTAAATCAGTTTTTATAACAGAAGTCTTTCATGTAATATTTTATTCAGTAAAAATTCTGAAAAGGCATGGTTGAGTTTTGAAAAGACTTAAATGAATACATACAACTTGTGAAATTACATTGAAAGATTACAGGTTTGAATTTTTTACTGCACTATAAGAAATTCTGTTTTTGTCAGTTAAGAATTGTAAAATCTGAAAAATAATTGGAAACAAAGAAAAGTGTTTGGGAAAAAATAAATTACTAATTTGAGTTTGAGCAGTATGCGTGCCTGTGTGTAAAAGTTATCCATAAATTCGAAAGAATAACCATTTTTCAAAGTACATCTGATATTCTGTTAGAGTCCTTTTCAATTTTTTTTTAATGAGGTGGCACTTCACTGTGAACATGCTTAAAATGGTAACAACATGAGTGTAAAGTGCACGTTATATTTGTTTCCATCTGCATGTTGCTTGTGACAGGTGCTCAATGATTGTCAGCATCCTTGTCAGCAAGACCATCCTGTGACATTAAAGTCACCAACTCGATCCTGATGCTGTGTGAGTCTATTGGCAGTTCCATCAGGCTGTAGCTGATCGCTGAATGTCAAGAGGTGCTTTCCTTTTTCAGGATGTCACCAGCCCTCTGCGTTTTTGGTTTGGCCTTGCTTGTTGTTTGAACTTACCAGACTTCTAAGAGTTTTCCTCAGGGAAAAGAGCTGATAAGTCATGGGAATAAAGGTGTCTTCAGGGCATGCAAAACCACATCCACAGTGACTTATTATATAAAGGGTTGTAGTGATTACCTTGACTATAAGTCAATCAATGGTTAGAGCATCTGGGGACTCATTAAATGGTATTTGTGGTGTCTGTTTCCTAGGTTTTGAGCTGGATTTCAGGGAAAGTGGTGACAGCCTTTAATGTCTAATTGACCCTTCCTCTTTATGTTTGCTTTCTATATTTGCTTCTGATGTGTTCCCTAATGACAGCAAACGGCACTGCTCAGCATTCTGAACTTCTGTTCAGAACTTCAGCACCTCAGCCTGGGAAGCTGTGTAAGGGTAAGTTCTTAAAAGTTTTGACTTGTGGAGATGCTGCCCAAGTTTACTAGCTTGGTTCCTCCCCCTTCCCCCCCCCCAATATTAAACAAATAAATTTAAAAAAATTAAATTAAAAATAAACCACTTTTTAAAAATTACTTCAACTCAAATACAAACACACCTGATTAACGGTGTAAATACATGCTTGAAAATTACTCTTATTTTCATCTGTTATCTTGGGCTGATCATTTTACTTGTATCGCATGAATTATTGAAATTAGGAATTCAGCCCCATCCCCCATTATCCCCCTAAATCATGTACAGTTACTGTCTGTTTGTGAAACCTTCTGGTAAGAAAAATGAAGAGTTTTCAGTTTTAAGGCTCCATTCTCATGCAGGAATTCTGCATATAAATATGGTAGTCTACATATCGCTTCAGTATTCCATTGCATAAATACTAGCATGTCTCAAAACTTGATATAGATATGAAATAGAACTTGTTTCTACAAATACTACTTTTTAATATTTTCTATTGATGTCTTCCTGCTATTTCCTGAGTTGCCTTGTTGAGAGATGGGTGGCAAATAAATTTAATTAATAAATTATGTTATTTTTCCCCCCTTGGGGGGCAAAGGATTGTGTTCAATAATTTGTTCTATAATCATCCTGCATTTTAGTTTTTTTTTTTTTTACTTTAAATCAGACTGGTTCTGTTATCAGACAGTTTATAAACTTCCATAGTTCAAAATGAGACTACTTAGTTTCAAAGTAAGAGTAAAGTCAGTCTGCATCATATTACATTTATACTGTGCAAATTTAACTCTAGCCAGCTTGTGACTTCATTTAAAATGCTTTTTGATGATGATATAAGAAACAACTTTTTTACAGATAATGTTCCTATTTTGGAATTGTTCTTCAAGTCCAGTGATCACTAAAAATATGAGGATCAAGACTTGAAGCAGAACTTTTTCAGCAGACGAACTATAGAGCAATTGTTTATTTTATTTTATTTTCCATTTCTGAAGGCACAGAGGCTTAAAAATACCATGGTATGTTAGATGTTAGATGGAATTGTGTTCCAAAAATTGTTATTTAGCTGGTGCATTGATCAGAAATGGTTTCTTGACCACAGGGTCTTGAAGGCCAATTAAATAATTGATACTTAGGTTCCTTATGGGTCTATAGGCTAGACAAAGTATAAACATTAGATATCTACAGTGAGAGTAGATAACACCATTTGGTTTTAAAAATATTTTTAATTTGACAGATTGAGGACTATGACACAATAGCTAGTATGATGGGAGCCAAATGTAAAAAACTTCGAACATTGGATTTATGGCGATGTAAAAACATTTCTGAAAATGGATTAGCAGAGCTGGCTGCTGGCTGTTCACTGTTGGAGGAGCTTGATCTTGGCTGGTGCCCGACTCTTCAGAGCAGTACGGGATGTTTTGCAAAACTTGCCCGAAAACTACCAAATTTGCAAAAGCTTTTTCTGACAGCTAACCGATCTGTGTGTGATTCGGACATTGAAGAACTTGCTGCAAATTGTACAAATCTTCGGCAGCTTGATATTTTAGGTAAGTACCACAAGAATACTTAATTCTTCTGTAAATTAATTAATTGTTATCCGAATCAGAAAATTATAGGTTAGATAAAGGTGTGATTTTGAAATACTATATGTAGGGCCATTGATGTTCTCGTGAGTTTGGTTGTTTTCTTGCAAGACAACAACCAAGCTCAGATAGCACCAGGGACCCCAGAGTCCAACCCTAAGCTACAAATATTCTCTTCTGTTGGAAATACTATGTTCAGACATCTCCTATTTCCTGATGGCAGATTGGTGTGTAAAAACAATTAATACTAGATACATTCATGGCTTTAACGAATCATTGGTACTGAGATAAATCAGTCTAATTCCAAATTCTTTGATTAACAAAATTGGGAACATTTGCCTCATTACTTATTCTTTGCTGCTACTTTTTCTTTTTAAAAAAATCTAATTTTTTTAATGAATTCCTGAAATTCATTCAAGTACTATTGCCAGCTTTGAGAAGTTCTTGGAATTGTAATAGTGCATGACAGGATATATTTATAAAGTGGGGACCTTATCATAAAAGAGTTTTTTGAAGAGCAAAAACAAACCTACTTCTTTAAAAAATATATTTAAATGCTAATTTAAAAATTAATAAATAAATTTAAGTTTTCAATTGTGTTGCAGTAGACCCCAAAACTTTCTCAACATACTTCAAATTGTATTTATGTATTTTAATGTATTTTGTATTTATTTATATATTTTGCCACTAATCTGGATATGTTTAGATTTTTCCAATCTATTTTAACAGTCCTGAAATTCCCTGATAGTATTTCCAATCAAGTACTAATCTCACTTAACCTCTGAGCCCTTTGATGTGAAAATTTTGTCCTGGTACTCATCATTTGTTGGCACGCAACACACACAAACTAGAACTTGTCTATGTTGGCTGCCTTGTGACTCACTACATTATTCCTTATGGGAAAAATTTGATTGGTACTCATTGTTTTTGGTACTCATTGTGCCACCCGGAACTAATTAAGGATGAGTACCAAGGTACCCCTGTATAAGAAAAAAAACAGTCTATGCAATAACATTTAATTTAATTGCTTAATTGTACTGTATACAAGCTGCATTATCTACCAAAAATGGAAGTTTAATGCTATTTTCTTTTATTATGTTTGATCCATCTGCTGAGAATATACCTCCATATTATTTTGCATGCAATCTTTATCATAAGCAAGTATTCACAAATAATGGAGCCATACCCTTCAGGTAAAAGACACACACCTTGTAAAAACACATGTACCCACCATACACTATCAAAAAGAGGTAAAATATGTAAAAGACACTTCACAGGCAAAGCATTGTCCTTGTGTTTCTCTGAAATTTCCAGAACCTCTCCAACATCTCCCAGTTTATACTTGGTGTTGCCTGAAAGAGTCGTATATTTCAAAAGAAAGTGCTAGGATGCTGTTCTCTACCCATTTGATTTTTTAAGGATGCTTGGGACGTCCTGACAGGCAGGGTGGGGCTAGAAGTCAGAACTTTACTTTGAAACATGAGAAATCTTCAGCTTCATTTTAAAAATAAAATAAAAATAAAAACAGGTGGGGTACGAAGCTTAGTGTGAGGTACAGGTGACAGTTTTTAGCCAGCTTTTTTTTTTCCTATTTCAGGATGCTTATCAAGGCCTTCATTTTTGGAGGGGAAGTGGTTAGTTGGACTTATTGTTGTAGTTTTTTTAAGTGATAGATTTCTTTGTGTGCTTTGTGTTAATTCATTGTACAAAATATCTTGCAAGTTACTGCTGCAGAGTGTTCGCGGAATGACCGTAGCTAAACATAAAATATGTTATTGTTTCTTTCTAAATATTTATATCAGAGTTCTCCAATGCTCAAGGTTTTATTACAACAATAAATAGACAACACAAAGACAAGAAAAATGTACATCTGCTGCTGTTAAATGGATCAGTACACATCCTCTCTCCACCCAGCACAAAAATATGCTACCTTGCTAAGTTAAATTTCTGCCATGTGAAACATTGAAATCTCTTCCATAGAGAAAAATAAATACCTTTTAAACATCTCTTTAGACAACAAGCTAGTTTTATCCTTTTTTAGGTCTCCCTTTCCTGTTGTCAATAATAGTGAGGATTTAATAGCCAGTTAAAGGTTCTGAAGTAAAGTGTTTAATTCTCATGACAATAGATGTCTGTTTAAAAATAACTTAGAGATATTTATTTCTTTGTTACATTTATACCATGTCTTTCATTCAGGAGTTCAAAGCAGAGTAATAGGTAGGACTTCCTTCTCCACTCCCATGCAGTAGTTTGGGTCTGAGTGAATAAGTGACCCAAATGAGTTTCTGAGGCTGAGAGTGGGCTTGAACCTGGATTTCCTCATCCTGCTCTCATACCATGACTTATGGTGGCACAGTGGTTAGAATGCAGTACATGTAGTCCTCGACTTACAACAGTTCATTCAGTGACCATCCGAAATTACCACGGCACTGAAAAAAGTGACTTATGATCATTTATCACACTTATGATAATTGCAGCATCCCATGGTCACGTGATTTACATTCGAATGCTTGACAAATGGGTTCACATTTATGACAGTTGCATTGTCCCAGAGTTATGTCACCCATTTTGCAATTTTCTCATAAGCAAAGTCAATGGGGAAACTAGATTCACTTAACAACCAGGTGACTAATTTAAGAGCTTGCAGTGATTCACTTAACAAATGTGAAAAAAGTCGTAAAATGGGGCAAAACTCACTTAACAAATTTGTCACTTAACAACACAAATTTTGGGCTCAATTGTGATTGTAAGTTGAGGACTACCTATACTGCAGGCTAACTCACTGCTCACTCCAGGAATTCAATCCTGAGTGGCTCAAAGTTGACTCCGCCTTCCAGCCTTCCGAGTTCAGTAAAATGAGGACCCAGATTGTTGGAGGCAATATGCTAATTCTGTAAAACCACTTAAAGCTGTAAAGCACCGAAGCGGTATATAAATCTAAGTGCTATTGCTATACCTGCCATTCAGCCAGTAGGTACAAATAAAGGAGTAGATGCTGGGCTTGCCAACTGGAGGTTGGCAGTTTGAGACCTAAGTACCATGTGATGGAGTGAGCTTCCTTTACTTGCCCCAGCTCCTGCCAACCTAACAGTTGAAAGCATGTAAAGAGAAATAGGTACCACTTCGGTGGGAAAGTAACAGTGTTCCATGCACCTTTGGCATATAATCATGCTGGTCACATGATCATGGACAACACTGGCTCTTCGGCTGTGAATCAGAGATGATTAATACCCCCTAGAGTTGGACACGACTGGCAAGGGAAACCTTTACCTTTTTTATGTGTATTTTGACGTATTTTGGAAATATCAGATATAGTTTACTTTCATCTCTGCTCTTCTTCTCTTTCTTTGTGGCTGCTAATACTAAGATGCTTGTTAATACTGAAGTTTGAAAATGGGCAATATGTGAAAAGGGTATAGTTCTGTTCTTTGCTTGCAGAGCAACATATGCAGAGCCATTATGTGATCACATAAATTGCAACATATGTTTGGATTATGCTTAAATAAGGGCATAAAACATGCTCCAGAAAAATAAACTTCCACTTGATATTTTGACTGCAGCCAGGCAGCATAAAGTACAGTTTAGGAGAATATGGTGGGTTTAACCATCTGTATGCACCCTACCTAAATTGCTATCTTGATTCATTGAATGAAAAACAGTAATTCTAGCAAAGTTCACACATATTTAAAAGGCCTAATATGTAAAACCGTTCAGGCACGGAAGGAGGAATAACAATGCATTCTTCTTTTGACGGCTTCTTAGATGCTATAAACTAAAAAAAAAAAAATTAAAAAAAAATGCCTCCCACATTTTCCTAGAATGCCAACAGTTCCAACTGTCCCCTTGTGCCTGTCAAAACCATCAGTTTACTTGACAGTTTCAGAATGCAGTTACTCAGTTTCTGTACAGAAATAAGCACATTAAAAACATCATCCCCCACTAGAGAGAGGCAATAACATACCTACCTGCGTTTTCCAGAGCTTCCATTATGAGGATTTCTTCAACCCATCTAAGTTAAAAACTGGGACACAAGAAGCTTGGCCTGTTTTCAAATGCCTTCTGTACGCAGCCATCATTTTCAGGTTGTTGGGAAGGAGGCAGCCTATTTGCATTTTTGACTGTGCCTTCCTCATTGTGCTGGTTTAGGTTCTTTCCACCATTAGTCCGAAGTATTATTTATTTATTTTTATCTTTCCTTTATTACTTCTATAAATAGGTCAAGGTGGCAAACATGCCCAATATTCTTTCCTTCTCCTATTTTCCATGGAACAACAACCCTGTGAGATGGGTTGGGTTGAGAGAGGGGGATTGGCTCAAAGTCACCCAAACAACGTTCATGCCTAAGGCAGAACTAGAACTCAGGGTCTCCTGGTTTTTAGCCTGGTATCTTCACCCCTAGACCAAACTGGTATCTTATTAGTGCTGTTGCTATTTTATTATTTATTTAGCAAGAGTATCATCCCCAGTAGGCAGGGGAGACAATAAAGTCTATCAGTGTTCATATTATACAACAAATATAATTTGTTTTTATTCAAAAACTCTTAAATTAATAAGGACTGCGCACTCCAGTAGTATGTTTGTGATATATAGTTTATTCTTAAATGAAATCAGTGTCAAATACATCATTTTGAACTGTATATTAGCTAAGATTACAGTTTGTGCTCATTTTAAGTAAGATAGGCTTGTAATTGCATTGTAAATATGCCACAGATTGCAATCTAGCTATGCTATCTTGGCCATTGCTTTTCACCATTTGGCCTCAAGCACAGATACTACATTATTAACTAAGTAAGGCACATTTTACGACAGTAGATTTTTTGTTGTTGTTGCACTTTCTGGGGTGACTGTGATCTTAATTGGTCCACATAATTGATAAGATGGAGCCAATACTATACAGGTTCATTGAACAAACTCTCTAGTTGACCTGGAAAAGGGAAAGATTAGTTAGTAGAGAAGAGGATAAAATGGATACTTTTATTTATAATAAAAAGTTCATGGGATTAAATGTCATGGTTTACCAAACCATTGTAGAGGAAACCACAGTAAATTGTAGAGTTGAATGAAAATCCGATTCTTTCATCTCCATTCCATGTTGGCTCAATATTATTTAATTTATATTCCAGCTTTCTATTTATACAAGCATTCAAAGTGACTTATAAGAAATGCAGACTATAAAACAAAAATAATATTTGAAAGGATTAAAAATGCTCCAATTTTGACTATGGGTGGCAGTAGGAAAAGTTTTAAAATGAAAGCTTTCCTTAAAGAGCTCTATGATTTTTATTTCTTTAAGTACTCCCTTTTTTCCCCCTTTAACTTCTTGTTCTCTTCTTTTCCAGGGACAAGAATGGTAAGCCCGGCTTCTTTAAGGAAATTGCTGGAGTCTTGTAAAGAATTGTCCTTACTTGATGTGTCCTTCTGTTCACAAATTGATCACCGAATTGTCCTAGAACTGAATGCCAGCTTCCCTAATGTGCTCATCAAGAAGAGCTTCACTCAGTGACTCAATTCATATGTTGCCATATAGAACTGATCTGATGATTCTGCTTCCTGGGAATTTGTAATGATTTTTTTTCAAAGAGAAAATATATATATTTTTGTGAGGCATGGGGGGAAAGGTTAATTCTTAATATGAAAGTAAAATATGAAAGATTTAAATAATGGCCAACTATTTATTCCTGATACAATACTTGTCAAATGATTATTGTTGAAAGCATCTTGTAAATGTTAGAAGATATACACTTAAATGTTCATTAAGCATTTAATCTTACTAGGATATTACTGTTAAAATAATACATTTGAGAAGTGGAAAATGAAGTCATTTTAAGTTCTGATGTTCACTTTTAAGATATAAATATTGGAAGAACTTAGAACCTTAATGTCTTGAAGTATGAAACCTATTTTATTCAAATAGTTTCATCAATCGATTTAGACTGAGAGCCTTGACATTTCTAATAAATGCAATATAATGAGTTTGTAGAGATTCTCAGTCATCCAGGTCATAGTTGTCCCAAAGGTGCTTTTTCAGGAGGTCACTGAGATCATTTTCTTGTTTTTTCTTTTGAAGATGTTTCATTTCTCATCCAAGAAGCTTCTTCAGCTCTGACAGGATAGTGGGGAATGGAAGGATTAATATTCTTTGCAGACAGCTGTTCATTTGCATCTCTTAGAGCAGTGATGGCTAACCTTTTTCTTTTTGGGTGCCAAAAGCGTGCGTGTATATGCGTGACAGTGCGCATGAGTGCCGGCACCCATAATGCAATGCACACATCTCAGGCATGTGAGAGACCTCCCCACTCCTCCCGCGCATGCGCATGCGACTCCCTTCCCCCCACGCATGCACGTGAGAGGTGGGATTCAAAAATTTTAGCAACCTGCATCATGGGCCCATTTCCGGACTTCCGTAACTTCCGGGAGGCCCATTTTTCACCCTCCCCTGGCTTCGGAGGCTTAATTCGAGCCTCTGGGAGGGCAAAAACAACCTCCCTGAGCTCCGGAGGCCCTTTCAGAGGCCGGAAACTGGCCCATTTCTGCTCTCCCGGAACATGCATGCCACTCCCCCTGCCGCTTCCCCTGCCCCCCACACATGCACCCCCCTGCATATCCCGAAAATCAGCTGGCAGGCAGGAGGCGCGTGCACATGCACAGTGGACATGAGCTGGCTGATGGCTTGCGTGCCCACAGAGAGGGCTCTGCGTGCCAGCTGTGGCACTCGTGCCATAGGTTCGCCATCACGGTCTTAGAGGGTCATTGAAGCACTTGGAGGTTTATCTGTGTCTCTGGGTCACTTGAGTAGTGCTCCTGGTTCCTGTAGTCTGCAATTTTTCCTCTGGAAATCCATTCCTACTCACACACCATTCAAAGGGTGTTCATCCCAAATCGTATGGCTAAAATAACCTGGATGACTGAGAATCTCTGTAGACTTTTGCCCCCTGAAAAAAAGCACCTTTGGGATAATATAATGAGTTGTTTACCTTAGAATTTATTTACCATTTAATGTTTTATTTATATATTTATTTTTAAGGGGCTATTTTACTAGCCTGAAGGAACAGCCCACTAAAGTTCCCTGACAGTCTCTGATGGAGCTGAGAATTTCTCCACCAATTTTATTTGGGGAGTTCCGATCCTTTCTTTTCTGCTGTCATATTATCAGTCATGAAAAAAGGGGGGAGATGAGCATGCTACCTTTTGGAGTGTTTTCCATTTGCCTCGCTTTGCTCACTTGTTAGAATTCCAAAACAAGTTGTAGCATTAAGGGATCTCATTATTTTGGGACCTTAGCAAATATGTTTAGAATTGAGAATTTAGAACTGCATCCATGTGATAAGAATTACCAACTTTAATCAAACGAATCATTATGGGAGTGGAAATGATTATCCAGTTGATTAGGGGGGTCTGAAAACAAATTCAAATCATTAACTTTACTAATACAGCAATTTGCTTAGAGCTACTTTCTACACATACAGTTTAATATCCGAATTATAAAAGACTTCACATCTTTTTAAAAATTTTCTGTCGGTCAAATACTAACAGTATTCATATAATGATAATTATTTGAGCTTTGTCTAAAATAACAGATATTTGAATTATATGTAATTGTGTCCATTTTCTGAACAACTTACTGTCAGGTTTCCAAGTGATGAAACCCATTCAAAAAGAAATAGAGAGCTAAATAAAATCGCTACACATATGTCAAGTTCGGGCTCGACAGTTACATTTCTAGCAGGCTGGGCTAGAATTTCCTTGCTCTCCAAATTTCTCCATATGTTTGGAAGATTCGCATGGACTATTTGTGGATTTCGGGAGAAAAGAGGGGAAGCCAACTTGATCCATGTTATTCATTTGTGTAACACTAGATGTTGTGTTTTAACTTTTTATCAGTAGTGCTAATACTGAACTTTATACTTCACTACTGAGGCATAAATGAGCTCTCTTATAATGCATTCAATATTTTTATTTTAAAAACATGCAGGAAATTGTAATTTCTGTTTGTTCTAATACAGATTATTAAATCAGCTTTTGTAGAAGCATTTCAGTCATCTTTGGATCCACTATAGTTCAAAAACATTATTCTTGTAGTTTTCATTTCCCCCCAGCTCAATGAGGTCAGGCAGAAACATTTGAAAAATAGAATCTGGCTTTTTGGCAGCAATGGTTGTTTCTGATCAGACCTAGAAAATTAAGCATTTGCTAGGTGTTGCCAACCTTCCTCACTGCTGTCACCTCTTTTCTCTCCTATCTCAAGTTAAGTTTTGGCCAGTGATGATAGAAAAACTTGAGTGAGAAAGCTGCTATTTTTCTAACTAATCATGAAACAAGCCAAGTAAAATCACTATTACATTGTCAATCTTATTTTTGAAATATTTGTTTTCATATGAACTATCATGATACTATTGATTTTAAATTTTGTGTCAGAATTTCTAGATAGCTGTACCCTTTCATTTCTCTGGTGCTTAAACCAGCATACCTATTTTTTTTTTGCATTGTATCTGCTCTCTACTGATGCTATTTCATAGCCAATAGTAAAAAAGGAATAAAGAGTTCTCTTCTAAATTCTTAAGAAAGATGTTTCTGTGCTGAATATAGTATTCTGTACTATAAATATACTAAATTTTAAATTGAATAAGGAGGATTTCCTGAATAAAAGGGAATCCAAAGTATTACTTTACTTGCCCCTTTTCAGGTTTTGTGAATTTTTTTACATCTTTAAAATGAATTTTACCAAGCATAAGGTGGAGTCTGCAAACAGAAAAGGAATCCAAGTGAATAATAGTAATAAGGTTTAGTGCTTGTTTCAATTATTGGATTAGTAATCCAATCTTTTCCACTTTAGATTGAGTAACTACATGTACCATCTTTAGTTGCAACAATTAAACTCTTGCTGTCATTGGCAAGTTACTCTTGTATTTTGTTTATTTATCAAATTTATATACCACCCATCTCACTGTCAAGTGACTCTTTGTAAGAATTTTGATCCATTCTTTTATGACAACTTACTTCAGGATTTGATGGTCTTCTAACATAAATTTCTAAATTTGGGTCCTGTCACATTGTTATGTGGGGTTTAAGCCTGGATTTTGAGCTGAGCATTCAAAAAAATTGAATTTATTCTTGATGCTCTTGTAGACTATCTCTTGTAGGCTAGCGTCTTAGTTTGAAGTAATTATAATGCTATATAATTCACTTTTGCTTCAGCTGATGGTTAGAGGATCTGATATACTATTGTAGAATTCTCTGCTACAAAGCAGAATTTATACTTTCTTCAGTGATGGCAAGATATCTAGTTCCCCAACAATGACACTATCATCTCCATGCTTAATGGCATGTTGGTATCTCATTGTTTACACATAATAATACCCATATAACCCCAAAGGTTATATTTTATTATATATTCTATATAATAGGTCTATTTTAAACTAATATTTCCTTGGAACATTCTTCTAGACGTCTGGAATTTACTTAGGTGCTTTTTAGCAAATTTGAAATAATCTGTTTAATAAATTTGAGAGTACTTCCTTGTTAATCAGCCATGGCTCTTTTGCTATTCTCATTTGAATCTCATTTTTTTATCCAATATTTTTCTGATGCTGAATTATTAGCTTTGGTCAAAGTGATAGGGACTGCATATCTTTGAATATTTTTCTATGGTTCTTTGTAACATTTTGCATTGTTTTACATTCTGCTATTGGAATGATTTTGACAGGATGGCTATTCTTAGAAAATGGTAATACTTCATCCCTACTTCTAATTGGGTCTGGCTTGATGTAGCCTGAGAAATTTAGGAATAGTTTTATAGCCTTTTGCAGGCTGATAGAAATAATTTCTTTACAGTGGTTTTCATTTTTTTTTTTTAATGTGGGCATAATGTGCATTGAGGATCTTTGTGGTAAAAACTCTATTATAAAGAGGGTAAAACCAGGGTTCATGGCAAACTCTGATTATTTAAAATACTTGCAACTGGCCTTAGTTATTGATCCCTTGAATTAAATCAAGTGAAGCAATTTAGTCGTTTTCCCACTATTGCTTTTTCCATCCTAAATTGGATGCTTTGTTTTAATCAAATAAAGAAGTGTTTAAATTTCCTAATTTTTGTTCACTCAGCTCCCTTACTGTATTAGAAGAACACAAATAAAACTCTGAAAGCATTTAGGGGTAAAGATTTCTTAAAAATGCAAAACGGGGAAAATATTTTATACAGAACTGTAAATTGTCACTTGATCCTGATTGTTTTTCTTGAAAAACCTCAGAAAACATTCAGAAAACAAAACATCTGTTTTACTTGAGTGTATGTTTTCAGTTTTTTTTTCTCATTCTGCAGAAGATTCAAGATCTGAAAAGATGTGTTGATCTTCATTCTATTTTGAGAGATGCTGCCACACAGTATCATTCCAGTTTCATTTAGTTATTTTTTCTGTGAATTGAATAGGGGTTAGTGAAATGGGATTTTTTCCCTTGGAGGATTAGGTATAAGGGTACATTACTGTGTTTATTTGAGTTTGGACAAGTATTACTGACCACTAAAACATATAAAGAGATTGTTGGAACATATTTTCCATGATGGCAATGATTCTCACACTGTCCTGTTCAATTTAAAATTCTTCCATATATCTGCTTATTAGCCTATGTGCTCCCATAGATAAAATAAAGTGTGTATGTGTTGAACTATTGTTAAAATGTTTAAATCTTTCTATTTTGCTGACAAAACTAAATGTGCTATTTTTGTTTTGCATTTTGAAACATATTTTGAAATATGAATTCAGGACAATTACGTATTATATTTATACATATCTATTAACAAGGAGATTGCTTATTTGGGTTATGCATATTTACAAATATTAATATTTTAAAATGAAGTATTCTATGTAGCTCATGATGAGCATGTTTTATTTTTAAACAAGCACATGGATATATGTAACTGTAAAATAATATTAAGACTATACTGATTAAAAGTTGTGCCTTCCATTTTTATAACCAACAGAACATAGGATTCTTAAGGGCAAAGTAAATGTCACTGATATCCGTGAAAAAATGGTTTTGTTTAGGATACAACAGCCCCTTTGTTTACATCCCAGACTAACTGTGCTTCATAAAAACTAGACTACTGTGTTTTCCCGAAAATAAGACATCTCCTGATAATAAGCCTAATTGGGCTTGTGAGCGCATGTGCTAAATCTTTATCTTTCTTTATCTTTTATTAGATTTATATACCGCCCTACTCCCGAAGGACTCAGGGCGGTGAACAGCCATAAATAAAACAAATATAATATAAAATTTAAAAAGAGTTAAAAAAAACATATTAAATAGATTTGGCCCAGTAATTAAAACACCCCTATTTTTAAGAACAGATTCGAATTAAAATTAAACAATTAAAAAGGGTTAGGCCAGCCCCGCTTGCTGGAATAAAAAGGTCTTGAGGGCACCCCCTGAAAATAAGCCCTCCCCAAAAATATTTAACCACATGCACATGCACAGCCGGTCCCCGCCATTTTCTCTGGTTAGGGTTAGGGAAACAGAGCTGGAAATCAGATAAGATGGCAAGAGGAACCCCATCTTGCTCCACGCGTCCCAGAATAAGACCTCCCCGAAAATAAGGCCAAGCGCTATTTCAAAAAAATACAAGGATCTTATTTTTGGGGAAACGGTAGATACAAAATGTTTGTCCAGAAATGAATTAAACTCTGTTGAGATTGTATATTTGCTTTTCATTATCCTAATATACTCTGCACTGCTATCACTCAAAGCTCTTAGAAAGAAATGGAAAGACACGGAGGTGAGAATGTGATTGGATTTTGAAGTGGCTGGACCTAATCTTTGAAGAAAAGCCTTGGAAAGTGGAAAGTAGCCTTTCAAATACAGGTAGTCCTGGACTTACAACAGTACATTTCAAAGTTACAACGGCACTGACAAATGTGACTTATGACTGTTTTTCACAGTTATAATAGAGCCCCATGATCATGTGGTCAAAATTCAGATGCTTGGCAACTGGTTCATATTTATGACCGTCGCTGTGTCCCAAGATCATGTGATCCCCTTTTGTGACCTGAAAAGTAAAGTCAAAGGGGAAGCCAGATCCACTTAACAACCGGGTTGCTAACTTATCAATTGCAGTGTTTCGCTTAACAGATGTAGCAAGAAATGTTGTAAAATAGGGCAAAACTCGCTTACAACCTAAATTTTGGGTTCAATTGTGATTGTAAGTCGAGGACTACCTGTATCCTGTAGACATAGTGCTTACTGATTCTGGGCTGCAGTAAGGAAGTCTGCAAATTTCTAAAGAGTTGTACTGCACTTAACCAGAATAACCAAGTGTTGCACAAATTAGCGCTTTCAAGATAACATTGTTTTCTGCCACCTTCTCACCCAGACTTAGAGGAGCAAGGCTAATGATGTCCAAAATGATCAACATTGGCTCCAAAATGGCAGGCACAATCAGGTAAGCAAAGCTCTGCCCATTTTTATGTGCAGGCAATGTATGCCAAAAAAACCCCACACGTCTGATAAGGTCAAAATTTTTAAAAAATTACTAATATTGAAACCCAAGAATACCTTAAGGGATCAGTGTCTGGTAATCTGGAGAGACCAAGGCCTTCTGAGAGATATTCCCCAATAAACAAATTGGCACCAAAACAATCTGTTTATAATATTTGGAGGCTATTAAGAACCCAGAATAGCAAAAAATATATCTACAGATGGTACGATGAAAGATTAGGCTTTAAAAGAGTAATAAGTGAAGGAAACAAGATGTCCATTTACTGCATGGACTGTTAACAGCCCTCTATAGATATTGCACCCAGGAGTATGGACAGGTTAGATTTCTCTACATTCTGGAAATTTTGCCTCATAGTTTATTTTTTAATTTATATATTTTTTCATGGAATAAAAGAAAAAAAGTGCAAGAAAAAAAGTAAAGAAATATATTTATCTTGCAAATTGATTGTTTTATACCTCTCCCCTTCTTCTGCAGTGAGTTACAGAGGTAAATGTCTGAGTTTCTTCTGAGTGTTTGTCTATTATGCACATTAGGCTTTACTCGTCGTCCCCTGGCAATGGATCTTGCATATATCCAAGTTCATATTTCTTACTTTCTACATATTTGATTATTTACTTTCCCTAGAAAAAGCTGCTGATTCCAAACAATAGCAATAGCACTTAGACTTACATATCTCTTCACAGTGATTTAGAGCCCTCTCAGCGGATTACAGAATCATCATATTGCCCTCAATAATCTGAATCCTCATTTTACCGACCTCAGAAGAATGGAAGGCTGAGTCAACCTTGAGCCAATGAGAATTGAACTATCAAACTGCTGCCAGTCAGCAGTCAGCAGAATTAGCCTACAGTACTGCATTCTAAGCCAGGGGTGTCAAACTGGCGGTCCACGGGCCAGATGCATCACGCGCAGGCCACGCCCAGCTCCGCAAAGCGGAAAATGTCATGAAATGTCATGTGACGGCAACATGATGCTGTGAGTTTGATGCCCGCGTTCTAACCACTTCGCCACAAGAGCTCTCAAAGACTCATCAGAAGCAAGACAAGTTATTCTGATTCAGCGATTTAGGTTTTAGGCCTGGCACATGGTCAAAAAGAAAATCATGTGATCCAACTTTTTGTTTTTATGTGCTCTAATTGTGATTGAATGTATTGAGGTGGATTCCCAGTAGGGCAGGCGTGCATTCTAGAGTAGTAAGAGGCAACTCAGCCAGTGAGTTAATAATAGTTCACAGAGTATATTGTGGTTGCATAAGTCTCCAGTTTGGCAAGATTTTATGTCTAGATGTGAAACAATAAAAGAACCCAGATTGGAAAAATTACCATGTGTTATTCTTGGTTTGGGGCCTAACATTAATGCAGTAGTGGTCACCACTAGTGACTCTTGGCATCCCTCCACTCTGGACACCATTTCCTTAGCCTTATCATACTAGAAATAAAAAGGATTGGCCTAAAATTAAGTTGCTTGTCACAACATCCAAATGATTTGTTGCTACTTTCATTTCTTGTTCAAAGTCTAGAAGACATTACTTTATGAGAGGAAGTGTTTTGATGAAGGACTCAAGGAGGCAACTTCTCAAAAAACCCTGAAGAATACGTTCTGCACATAATTCTCCCTGTATTCAAAACCTGTAATAGAAAAAAAATGTATAGTAATTGCTACTTCATCAAAGTTGCATTTTTGTAGTTATTTTATATCATTGTTTCTTCACAATGAAAACCTTTACAAACAATTTGTATAAAAGAACAATTTAAACAATATTGCTTTGCTCAAATCAATTGAAAAAAATGAACTTGAATTTTAAGTATTCAACATTTACATTGTTTATGAATATGTTGCTTTGGAGGAGGGGGAAATTTGCTATATTCATGAAAAGATGTTTAGTATCCTGTCCTTGAAGTGATGGGGAAGAGAATGTACAAGAAAAATATACAGATTATTTTCCCCACTATATTGCAAGGGAGCGAAAGGGTAGAGACTCTGATATGTCACTTTTAAAAGAGATTTTAATGGCTTACATCTGTAGGGAAGCCAATGTTAAGTCAACTTTTGCTCCCCTCAAATAACTTTAAAACCTTACTGGTAATGTGAAAATAAGATTTAGAACTGACAGTTTCTAACTCTTTAAGATATGTGATCCTTGTCATGTCTGAAAATAGTGTGGAAGAGATGTGAGAGAAGGGTAATAATGTCACGATGAAGAGAACATTGGTGGAGCTTAGAAAAATTTCTTGCTGTTCTTAGTAATCTCTTAGATATGAGAAGACCACACCATAGATAATATGTTATAGTATAATTAAAAAACCCAAGATGGACCCCGTTCTTATATAGTTTATTTTTTCCATAATGTTGAGCCATTTCGCTTATCAGATCAAACATGATTTAAGTTATTTTCTCACCTATACTATAGATGTAGCCATCTTGTAACATAGCTTCCATAGCTATCTTATTCCATTATCTTGAGGAAATGTTAAACAAGCATAACACATGTTTACATCTTTGTTTGTTTAGGCAGCAATACCACAATAAAACCACTGTAAAATTCTTTAAAAGGCTACTTTGAAGGTATTCTAGGGGTAAAATATTTGTTGTATCTTATGGATAATGCTTCAGAATATTGAAAGCAGGATGCTTGGCAGATATTTTAAAAGTGACTGTACCTGATCTGCTAGAGAATGTGGTTACATTGGAATGTGGTTAACTTGGAAGACAATGAAAAACAAAATATGCTTAAGTAACTTATTGCCATTTAATGCTTGACAACATTAAATTTCAACACTAATTCTTACTGAATTACAAGAGTTTTCTTCCATCAAAAACCAGAAAGTGAAGCTTTTAAAAATAGACTTTTTAATGAAAACATCTTGAACGCATCACTACTGAGGAAGTTTTCCCATAAAGGGGAAATTACATGCGATCTTCATGCAGTGAAAAAAATAAAAAGGAAGTGAACCGTTCCTGGAAAGTTTCACACAAAGAGTTTTGTTACCATTTTTCTCATTCCGAGGGAATTTAACACCAGTGTTCTTTATTATTTCTTTTATCAAATAGCAAAAGTTTAGAATACACACAAACGGGTGAAATGTAAAATTTGTTACTACCGGTTCTGTGGGCGTGGCTTGGGGGGGGGGGGGGGTAATGTGATTGGGTGGGCATGGCCAACTTTTTTTTTTTTAACTTTTCAAAGCATTTTTTCTAATGCTTTGAAAAGCCTCTGCTGATCAGGCAACACAGCTGGGATCGTCAGAGAGGCTTTTTAAAAAATGCCTCTCTGATGATCAGGCAACTAAGCAGGGATCGTCAGAGACTTTTCAAAGCATTTTTTTTTACCACATCTTCAGCCAAGAGGCTTTTTTCTGAAAACATGCTGAGCCGTGCGATCATCAGAGGCTTTTTTTTTTACTTTTAAAAGCATTTTTTCGTCGGAAGAGGTTGTAGAAAAAATGCTTTTAAAAGTAAAAAAAAAAAAGCCTCTGATGAT